CCAATGTGGGCCAAGTTTTCAATTTCGGACATATGTGCGAGAGTACCACAATGATCATGGGTTATAAATTGGATTTAAAGGACCTTAAAGTAAATAGACCGTAGCTCTGTGTTGGTAGAAATGTCGAATTAATTACAGAGTTAATTTATATTATATAGAATTCTTTGTTTTGAGAAAATATGAAACTAACTCCGTTAAAAGTTGTTCAAATCGTATTTCTTAATTTAGAAAACCCATAGCATGTTAAATAAAATACCCTCCCAATTAAAGATATTTTTGTTTTTTACCCTTTGATTGAATCTTGTTGAAATACTAATTCTTTTCAGATCCACTTTTCAGTTCCCTGGCTTTCCAGTGAAGACAACTTTTGGGGCGTGGCCCCATCGGCTACCTGGAATGATTTATTTTGTCTTGTGCTGATCATTATTTATGGACACTATACAAATTTTCAAGGCAATCGAGATGAGCTCTCATCACTGTACCGAATTATATTGATATTATTCGGGGCGTAGAATGGGCAGAAAATGCGTTTCCATTTCACGATTATTGTGACTAATTGCGTTTGATTGTCAATTGGTTTGCATGTTGCAGACAAATAAATTAATGGCCCACGAAAAGAAAAAACAGGGAGCAGGCAACTGGAGTTGAGCGGGTCTATTGGCCCGCATGCAAGCACATGGAAAAACTGGCGGCTTGAAAAATGCAAAAGCCACGAAATTCGGTGGCGTGAAAAGTGTTCTCCAAAAAGTATCATACAAGGGGAAAAACGGGGCGACGGATCGGGTTAAACGGCCGCATTACTTAATTCTCATATGGAGGAAAAACAAATAAGAGAGCAGCAGTTCAGAGCTCGCCTGAGGGTACCATCATATTTATAAGTCGATTGCTATTAATTCGTTACTTAATTGCTCCGCTTATCGAGCGACCGACTCGCGTTCTTAGTTGGGGGAGAATGTTTTGTATTTCGTAGTCGCTCATTGAAAATAATTAAAATTAATTAAGACATTCTGCTCCTCGGGCGCATGCATTGCCTAACCGTATCTATAAATTTAAATCGTCTCTAATTGAGCGACTTTCGGGTGACGCCGCGGACTTTGGCTCTCGATACTGTATTCTCTGTAATTTGTTTGCCTTGAGTTTCCATCCATCCATCCATCCATACGATGTTGCAATAACTAAGCCAAAGAAACCCAGCCCAACTGAATGATTTGTCCGAAAATTCTCGTCAGCGCGGCAATATCAAAAATATGAAACACGTGCATTGATTGATTGCCAGTTTATTGTCTCGATTCGGGGGAAGGGGCACTAAGTCCCGAAACTGAAAAGACGGTTTTCTTTCCCGGATGGGGGTTACTTATATTTTGTGCCTTCGTGAGTGTGTTTCGCAGAAAAAGCGTTGGCCACGTGAGGTGGTCGCGTGTGGCCCGGAAAAGCGTGAAATCCCATTGGAAACGTTTGCATGAAATGCACAAGCTCAAGCATAATTACAAGTTATTCGATTCTGGTTAGGCAAGTTTGATAAATTGTGCTTTCAAAGTGGTTATTCTTATTTCAATTATCGGATTCAATCAGCTGAATAAAAGAAATGCATTAGCAAGGAAGTAGTTTAAGGGGTTGTAAGTATGTAAGTATATAATGTTTTGATTTAAAAATGAAACATTTATAATGTTATATCTTATATATTTTGTTTAATTTAATTTTAAATATTTTTATGATCGTTTTGCCATCTCTAGTTCATTCAGGATATCTCGATAGATGAAATAAAAAGCCGAAGGCACAAAACCAACATCCACACGAGCATAACATAAGGTGACTCAACCTGAATGAGTTGTTGCTGTCGCCTGGCTTCACTGAATGACTGACTGACTGACTGACTGAGGAAGTGAGGTATTGACTGACTGACGGACAGATGAACAGATGGACAAGCATTGTTTGCGACCGACACTTTTCTTACACTTGCATTAATTTTCCGCTGTGGAAACTATGGAAAACTATGTGAGTGATGGAACGAATTTGCATTCGACATTTGAGGCGTTCACAATCGGAGATGAAAACAAAACCCCGAGCCTTAAAATCAATATGGAATATTCCTTAGCCATTAACATAAACATTCCGATCGAAAGCCTTTCAGCAATTGACTTTTAAAGGGAATCGCCATAGCTGTCCTCTGATTCGATGTGTCGATAAATGTACTAATTGCTGATGCTTTTTAAATATTTATAAGCAAAGAACCAATAAATAAGACAACTTATTTTCAACGCCAAATGAAATATTTAATAAGGGAGCGAAGGCAACCTTTCAATTTGAATTCCAAATCGAAATTTTTATGGCACTTGGAAATTAAGTAGTCAAGCGCAGAAATATACATACAGACATGCACATGGAATCAGATCAATTCCCATTCCAGATGGTGAAAATGAGCCGCAGAAGAAGTCCCGCGACCTCCTACTTCCCCCAACTTGCAGATGCTCATATGTGTGCTTTTGTGGGCATTAAAAATAAATTCAAATAATTGCCAATTCAATAGACAGCCAATAAAGAGAGGGCTGGCAGCTGACAAAGCTCTAAATTTGGTCGAAAGGCATTTTCGGTTACTGATTTGTACCAAAAGCAAGATTGTGAAATAGTGAAAAAATGATAAGAAATATATAAGTGTAAAAGATTTTACCAAAAATTTAAATTTCTTGCTTTACCAACTGTAGCAGTTCAGAATCTTATTTAGAATAAATATTAAGTTCATTCCTATTACACAACCTATATATGTATATACTTGAGCTGTCAATTTAATTATTTTCTATTATATATAACCATTAAATTTAGTATCCCATAAACCATTTTTTATAGCCACTTCCTATTTTCAGAGAGGAGAATTCTCCGAGTTCACATCTAAAATATCAATCTGTTCGGCATCCTCTAAAAAAATTTGGATTCAAAGCTGAATTAATGAGGAAATCTTCTGCGGGAACATGTTCCAAATGTGTAGCCAAGTAATTTTCAAACCGTATTGCTCATTACAGCCACTTTTTGGCCAATTACGATTATGCCATATAAAATAGCGTATTCCACGATTATCGGCCACGAGTCTTGAGCATGTGTTTGTAAGAGTGGCAATTAATAAAACAAATGTGGTCGTTTCATCTCTCCTCCTGCCGCTCGAACATTTTGAGTGGAAACATATCGTGCACATTCTCGCCCGACTTTTCAATGGAAAACCAAAGCAAGCAAGTGCGGCAGGGAAAAGTTGCAAGAGGCGCACGCCCTGCCCTGAATGGAAAACGCACAGTGGAAAACGGAAAATGCGGGGTGAGTCGTTCATATTGGGGAATATGATTTGTGTAAAAGTTTCGGCTGTGATTAAGCACTCGAAAAGTGTAATTGCAGTCGTGTGTATGGGTGTGTGTGTGTGTGTGTGCGCGCACTTAAAAATAGCAGCCCCCAACTAAGACCATAACTAAAACCCATATGGATCTGAACGATCCGAACGATCTGGCGACGGCAGCTGGGAAAACTCGGAGAGGAAAACTACGACGACTGCTTAAAGTCAATTTTTGAATAATTATGAATCGTTTTTCGCTTTCGTTGTTCTCTAATTATAACAACATCATAATCATAATCGTGATCATAATTTCATATTTGGCTGACTCTTCGCATTTTGCGGCGTTCTTAATGTGCCAAAAGTTTATTTGTATCCCGCCAACATCTACACGCAAACACAGATACAAATGTATCTCACATATGGCGCAGCATTTTCAATATTCCTCAAACAAGCAAAAACCACAAATTTTCTTCATTTTTCTTCATATTTTGCATTTATTACGATTAATTTGAAAATCAAATACGAACCATTTCAGAAAATATGATTGCGAAAAATTGTTGACAATTGAGAAAATCTTTTGCAAATGAATTCTTCTGGTTTCGAGCAACTTTGTGATATAAGAATCCCCAGTGTATCATTTATTTTGTATAATTTCCTCATTTTCTCATTGATATGTCACAAAATGATAACAATGCAATTTGTTTTAACATATTTAGCTTATGCAAAACTTTGTGCCAAAAGAATAATTCAAAATTAAATCTAAAGGGATTCAAATTAAAGTTGGGAGAATCCGCTTTGCCGAAGATCCTCTAGGAATTTGTTTATGACATAATGGTTTTCAAATTCATTGGAATTATATTAGTTTGGAACGGAAGTGATACGTCAAAGGCTTAATTGTTTAGTGTGCAAATTGCTTTATGGCTCCCGGAGCAAATAAATCGCGAAACACAAATCAGAGTCGCCTTTTATGGGTGCAGTCGCTTAAGTTAAGCGAATCAGCAGCGCCGGAAATTATAGAAATTACCGATGCCAATAATATTGAGCAGAAATTAATATGCAAGCAAAGAGATTAAGCTAAATTTATATGTACGCCGCAGCTTCGAGTGCGTGCCAAATAAAAAGTATTTGCCATTCTAAATCGGAATATCTCCATTGGTATCTCATTTTATTTTACTTTATAATATGCAATCTAACCCACACAACTGGCAGGTAAAGATACGAAGACATTTCTGAGTTGGCTAATGACTAAGACTAAGGAGTGTCAGTCAAGTCACACAAACTTGGCTAATAAAATAGAAATTAGCCGGTGAGCGCTGATTCATAGGGCGTATGAAAATATAATACTAGAACGTTTTATTGGGCAATACTCATTTTTGAGATTTTGTTGAGTTATCGTTGGCTTTTTTTATTTTTAATTTTGTTAACACATTTGTACAAAAGCCATAGTTATACATTAAATATTGTTGAACGTAATTATTTTTAGTTAAAGCAAATAAAGAATAGAACTCAACAAATTGTAATGGAAACTGTTGTTAAATAAAAAACTTTGGGAGCCATTTTATGGACTCTTTTGTGTTTGAAACTAAGGAGTTGGCCAAGAAACAACCTTAAACTTTTATACACTTAGGAATTGCAAAAGGCTTTGTGAAATACTTAGAATTTCTCATCCGAGCTTAATATTTACCATTTTGATTGTCTGTTTGTGTGGGTTTGTTATCCTTCGCACGAATCCTGCGAAAAGTTCTCTCTCTTGTTTGTTGATAATCCCAAAAGCAAGAGTTCTTAAAGTTTTTTTTGTTTTGGTTTTTTGTTTCTTGTAGTTTCTGCAAGCTAATTGCACATTTTCACATTGGTAAATTGGTTTTTGTGTTGATTTCGGGTTGTATAATCACTCGAGAACCGATTTAGAATTCTAGTTAGTTATTTGTTTTAATGGCGGGCTTTCGGGTGATTGATTGGGGGAAGAACGCCGGAGGAGTGCCAAGAACGCTGGAATTTGGAATAGCTGCCGCTGCGCGCGTTCGCACTGGTGCTCGTTTAGTCACTGACTAAAGGGCGGGCAATTCAAAATTTTTTAAAATCACCATGCTGCTCTGCCGCTGTCGACGTCGGCACTGGCAGCGGCAGCGGCAAACAACAACAAGAAACTAATAAAATCAATTTACAAACGCACACAGACGCGGGCAGAGAGCCGAAGAGCGTTCGTGTGCAAGACTTCGGGAAATTGCCGAAGAACGAAACATGCTTTTGAGCGTAATTTGAGCGGCTCGCTCTCTTTGGCTTCTTGGTGTGCGTGTGGCTTTGAATGTGGGCCAAAAGTACTAACAATAGTGGGAGTATGTGTGTGCGCCGAAGGAAGGAAGCAAAACAAAAAGAAAAATGCGGCTACTACCACAGCAACAGTGGTCTCTCCTCAAAATAAAACAACAAATATTATATCTGAATTATTTGCTCAGCCAGCAAAAACATTTTTTTTCAATAATAAAAAGTGAACGAAGGATGCTGCAGCTGCATAGCATAATTTTGGGAGTTTTCAGGGAACCTCCCCTTTTATCCGTTTTTATACCCTTGCAGAGCAAAAGGGTATTATAATTTCAGTCAGATGTTTGCAACGCAGTGAAGGAGACACCTCAGACCCCATAAAGTATATATATTCTTGATCAGCATCACGAGTAGAATCAGAATACGTCTGTACGTCTGTCCGTCTGTCCGTCTGTCCGTCTGGCCGTCTGTCCGTCTGTCCGTCTGTCCGTCTGTCCGTCTGTCCGTCTGTCTGTTTCTCTTCAAACTAGTCTCTCAGTTTTAAAGCTATCTTGCTGAAACTTTCCCAAAAGGTGTGTAGTTATTGCACGCAGTATATAAGTCGGAACGGGCCGGATCGGCCGACTATATCGGATAGCTCCCATACGAGGGAATGAAATGAAAAATTCTCCCGCCGTTGTTTTTCATCAGATCGACTTGAATTCTTCAAGATGGCGTTTTCCAACTGTTATTGAATTTCAGATTAAATTTGATCAATATCGGATAACTCAATCATATAGCTGCCATAGGAGAGATCGAAAAATATATATAGAATTAATGGAAATAAATTGATAGCATCGCTGTTTTTTATCCCACGAGCATGATTTTTTGAGTATCAAGTTTTTGAACTAGCCTTGATTTATAAAAAAAATTTCATAAAAATCGGACAACTATATCATATAGCTGCCATAAGAAAGATCGAAAAATCTATATGGAATTAACGGAAATAAAATGATAACATTGTTATTTCTTATCAGAAAATCATGATTTTTGGAATATAGAGTTTTCTAACGACTCTTGAATAGCAAATAAAATTTTCGAAATATTTGATGACTGCAAGGGTATATAAGCTTCGGCTTGCCGAAGCTAGCTTCCTTTCTTGTTTATTCCTTACATAATCACCTCGCTTATTGCTCGAGTTTCAAAGCAAACGAATAGGACGAAACGAGAGGAACCCTCATGTCAACGACCGTTATAACAGTTACCAACCCGTCCGTAATTACACACAAAAGTTCCATATCGCATATACATAAATCGCAATTAATCAAGTGCAAGCCAATGCCGCTTAAACTCCGCAGCTCTGGCAAAAGCAACCCTCCCCGAACCCGAACCCGAACCAGAATCCGAAAACCTAAACCCTAACCCAAACCCAATTTCAATTCCAATCCAAATCCCAACAAGTTCAAAAACTCGACGTTTTGCGAACAATAATTACTCTCGCTCGCACTCACAGCACTTACCCTTTGCTGTCGTCCTGCTCGCACACTTTCACAAGCGGCTTCTACTAAAATTGTAATCATTATGCTTTATCGTGATAATCAGCAAAGGCAGCAGTCGCAGTGGAAATCGCAGTTAGGAGAAAAGTTTTTATACCCGTTATGAATAGGGTGTCAAGGGGTATGTCGGGTTTTACGGACTTTCATTAAGTTGATTGACAGAAGGTAACGGATTATGCGGGGTTACGAAAGGGATACCATCCAAGAGAAGATCAGTTAAGGTGAGAAATCGTTTAGAAAACATGACCTATCTGGGAAATCTTTAAAAGATTGCTATTTGTAAGATAATAACAGCTTTATACCAAACATTAATTAGGTATTAAGGTTATTGAAATTACTTTAAACAGTTTAATTTTTAGAAAATATTTCAGGTTCAGATTGTTAAAAAGCAATCGTTACAGCGCTTTAGTCCCAAAATTTAAGTTCCCATAAAAAAAGCAGCTGCTAAAACATCCCTTGCACTAAATAGGGTTAAATTGAACCCCTGACTAATTGATGGGTATCAAAGTGCCCGCTTCACTAACTCGTTAGGACACAATCAAAGCTAGTATATAACAAAGGAAAAACCCTGGCGCAAATATACATTCGAACTAGCCAGTAAAGGGAGAGAAAAGCATTGTTGGAGCGAGCGAGCAGGAGCAGCTAGCATAACCAACTGGCAAACAAACAAACTAAATTACAACAATTCCAAAAATTTATAATTGTACTCAGGCGAACGCACACACACACACACACAAGTCAAGTTAGAAGTTGAGGAACCACCACCCAAGTCACCACCCCTTGATAAAACCCCCACTCCACACAACCGAAATAATCATCATTGGCATTGGCATCATCATCTGGGTTTTTTGCCTTCTCGCCTCACAATTCGCCATGGAAAAGGATAAGGGGGAAATGGCAGGACGAACTAACAAAAAACCAAAAACGAAAGAACAACAACAAAAAAAAAAGGCAGTTAAGTTAAAATGTACTTAGAGTTTAAGCGTAACCCCGAAATCCCAACCGAACCCGAAACGAGATTGTGTGTTTTAAGCGTTTTAGTTACCCCACACAGCCCAATCCACCCCTCTCCCTCTTTTTCAACCCGCCATCCTGCTCGCTCTTTTGTTGTTCCTGCCGGCCCCTTGCAAAGTCAGCCATCTTGTGCGCCGTTATTAAATTTTATACAAATACTAAAAATGAAATCAAAATTTTCTTATTACAATGACTATTTTGAGGCCATCCCAGTCCTGTTCCTTCGCCGCCTGCTGTCCTTTTCTTTTCTTTTATTTTCTCCTCTCTTATCCAGCAACTTCTGCTTCTTTTCCAACAGCTGTGCCTTGGCTCGATTCGGTCTCCCTTCAAGGGTGGAGGAGTACAAAGCTTTTGAGTTTACCCTAACTTTGAGAGTTTTTAAACTTTCTCAAAGAGTTTGTACATTTTAAAGTGTTTACCCAAATGTCAATACGAAATTTCGAATAGAAACATAATTAACTTTAAATTCGTTAAGTTAAATTTCGTTTATAAACTACATATTGTAACATATTATAAAAAAGGGTAATGGACAATTCGGTGTTTGTTAAAATTAAAAGTAATTCCATTGCTCGGTTCGCAGTGCTGGCATTATGCGACTGTGTGTGTAGAAATGAAATCGTACCTATGCCACTACTTATCGACTGCATTCATTGTTAAGACTACGTAAAACTTTTCAGTTTTTGGCTGTTGACCCCTCCGAACCACCCAGCCCCACCTGCCCATGGCCACCACTTACCCCTTCCCGCCCCTTTCAATTGAGAAAACTTTCCCTTCGTGGAAGTCCTGTAAATGTCTGAACGAAAATCCATAAAAATCAATTAGGAAATTTTGTGCTGGGCAGGAAAATCATAGTCAGTGAGCTCAAATGTTTTACGACTTCCTGTGGCAACTAAATAAATTTGAAAATTTTTGATTCTACCTACCAAAAAGCAGATACGAAAATGAGCAAGTAAGCAACGAAGCTACCTGGACATACTTAAAATTTTAATTAAACACTGTCAAGGTTGAGCCTAAACAAATCTTGGCCGATAAGCCAGAGAAAACGAAGCGAAGAAACAAATGCCAAAGATAGGATACGAGCGAAGGACAAGTGATGAATAATACCAATCACGTACGGGGAGGGTAGCCGAGGAGGGGAGGGGGCCCACCTTCGTGGCCTAATCAAAAGAGCATTGTAAACTAAGCCAAGACAAGATGAGAATTCCAATTCTGAAAGGATCGTCAAAGATCAGGCAGGCAACTCAAAATGCGTAATCTCACACCAAAATGCTGCAGCACACAAAAACAACAAAATAAGTGCCGGCAGACACACAGATACAATTCACACACACACGTGCGCGATCTCACCTACGCCACACCTTTGCAAGCATATCTACATAAATCTATGGAATGAAAACATTTTTCATGCGTACAAGATCGAGAGAGATGCACTGAGAAAAACAACAATGAAAACAGAAGTTTTAAGTGATAACTTAAGTACTGTACTATTGAATCTAGACTTATATCAGAACAAACTTTTTGTTCAAAGGTAAACGAAACAATTTTACCCAAGTGTTACGATTCCCAACTGATTATAACAATGGGATCTCTACGTATAAGCCTATTGTCAAATTTTATACTGTTATATAACTTGTAACTTGGAAACATATTTATTACTACAAAATCAAGAACCACAAAACACTATCTTTTTAAAAATAAAAGTCTTTTTTTCTCTGTGTAATAACCCAGAGAGTGATCCATTGGGAGACAATTAGTCGAGCTGAGACAGGCTTCCATCTCACATCTCCCGATAGCGAGTCCCTCGACTCACCCCTCACCTTCTGAAGAAAACTTGCGTTAAAAGGTCAAGCCGACTCTTTGATATTGAAGCATTGATCTATTGTCCCTACAGCCATCCCGCTCGCACCCATTCGGCCAGTGTGTGTGCATTTTATACGCTCCGTTCTTAGTGCGATATTCCTTTTATTTCGTTGTTCTTTGGGTTCGTACGTTTCTTTTTTTAGTGAGTTGCTTCGTCAAAATGATTGATTTGTAGGTGATGAATTACAACAACCACTGAAAACTGAAATATCCAAGGTATTCTAAGGTTGGGTTAGTTAAGAGCCGGCCGACAGATAGATGGATACATGGATAGCCGGATGGATGTGTGAGAAAGGTATGGGACATAGTGAGGATTAAATACGAAATTTTCCATTTAAAAATATCTCTTATTGTTCGCATTCGTTTTTGTTTGGTTTTGTTCTCCGCTTTTCGTTTGCTCATTTCTTTTTTCCTGGTTAGGGGGAGG